ATATATTCTTGAGTGCTGTATTTAGTCTCATTTTCTACAATTTCTTCTTTAGTTGGGAAATAGTAGTTGGATGAGCAATGATGATGTTAAAATTACATAAACCTACATAAACCAGAAATTCTTTTGAAGCACTAGTAAACTGAAATCTAATTGGCTCCTCTGGGTTAAACATCACTGCTGCCATTTTGACTTTTTAAAGAAAAATCAGGAACATGTGTAAAACTAAAGGCATTTGCTGTGTGGTCTGTTGGTTGCCACAGCAAGGTTAAGCTAGATTTTCTAAAAAAAAACTCCTCCCATACTAACAGTGTGGACAGGCGGATCTCTCACTGTGTTCTTTGTACTCTGACAGTGGTGCCAGCTGCTTGGCTACAAACACTGTTTGCCGGACAATTTACCAACCTGTCCCTTTGACAAAAGCCAATCTAACGACCAACTGTTGTCGAGGAGATATGGCTACCAAAGAATCGAGTTCCAGCCAATTGCTGCTGAATCGGCTGAAATTCGATTTGTGTGTACCCTGCTTTACTTCCCCCAAAGGCAGGCTGCAAGACTGTACCAATTCCTATGGAGGAGGGGGGAATATCATACATAAATATATACAGAAATGCAAAAGGGGAAAATGTTTATTTGCCATAATTTTACTAGTGCCCAATGTTTCATAGATCGAGTTAACAGTCACAGGAAGGCACTTGATTATGTGTGGGCCTACATAGGACTGAATATATTCATTAGGGATGCACCGATACCACTTTTTTAAGACCGAGTACAAGTACCGATACTTTTGATCAAGTACTCGCAGATACCAATTACCGATACTTTTTCTTAAAGGGACAGGTCAAATTTTTTCTAAAGCAATACAAACTAATGCTTTAAGGTCACTTTCTTAATATTATGATTCATGAGATGACGAGGGAGCATGACGCCGGCTTCCCGGCCAATCAGAATGCTGGGTGCTGCGTCATTACACGGCGCCCGGCTTCCGGATTTGCTAGCTTCCTGACCAATTGGGAAGCCGGGCACCGCGTCATTGCACGCTACCCGGCTTCCTGATTGGCTGGGAAGTCGGCTCCATGCTCTCTCATCACAAATGACGAGAGAGCATGGAGCCGTTTCCTGGCCAAACAGGAAACCGGGCAGCGTGTAATAATGCGCTGCTCGGCTTCCTGATACAGGAAGTACTCGTGCTAGGTATCGGATCATTTGGGCGAGTACGAGTACTCACCCAAATACTTGGTATCGGCACCGATACCGATATTAGTATCGGTGCATCCCTAATATTCATAATAATTAGATTCAATTGTATGAAATTACCTCTAATAGCAGCCATAGACAATAATTTTCAGACAAATTCAGCCATCATTTAATCACAGAAAACAAAACAAACTACATGGCACATGGGGTATCTGACCCACCTCCTCTCCAACTCCAGATCCCAGTCCTTGTCCGACTGCAGCATAGCTTTTAAATACAAAGGTTTCTTAAGATCCAGATCAAGAAATCAGCAAGCCATTATTGATAGTAACAGTAAAAAAAACAACAGGATGCCACAAACATTCTTTTTGTCGCATAGTGTTGGTTCATTGCTGTAATTTTGGTCAAAGGCTCTCTGGTTCTGGACCTGGCTGTCAAGAATCTCTTTGGTATTTGGAAGTTTCAGCCAGAGAACTTAGTGAATTATAAAGTTTACAGCTACAGTTTGCAAATGAGCAAAATATATAAAAGAACAAACCAATATAAAGATCTGTTAAAATACTTTTGTACAACTGCAAAATCTAAAGTACAAAGTTGCTTACCTCTAAACCTGGGCCAGTTGCTTTTTACTTTGGGCACTGGAACATCAAACCTGACATATGTTTTTCTAGCTGCTACATCTGACTGCAGCTCTATGCTATTTTCAACTGCAGTGCTTCTGCTCTCCTAAAAAATAGTAATGCAAGCAATTATGAATTATTTTATTTATTGTGTGTATCATTTTTAAAACACTAAAGTATTTCTAAATGGGGTAAAAACGTGTCTATGCTAATATGTCATCTATTGTAAACTTTCTATAGTATGGTATTTACAGTACACAACGTCATGTTTGTTCTACCTTGTATAGTAACCGATTAGCAACTACATATTTTTATAATCATACAGAACTTGCCAGGTTTTTTTTAGTCTGTAGAATTTATTTAATCAATGCCATCCTGAATATCTAAATTAGCATCATGTCCCCAACAGCATAAATAAAAAAAAATAAAAAATACTTTCTCTGGAAAAACATATAGCAGTGCACTTCCTCTTACTCATCACTTCTATATAACACTACCCTTTGTATTTTCATCAAGATTGGGTAATAATGACATCAATAACTGGGGTACAAAACAGTTCCTTTTCCAGGAGACTTAAACCCTCTACGTACAGCCACAATTCCATACGCATAAAAGGCCATCACACAGAAGGGATTTAGGACAACCTGTTGTCCAAAATACAATACAACTAATTACCGTTACCTGGAAAACTAAACAAAATGTCCCCACTATTAAATCTTCCATATTATATCAGACACTGCCCCAAGAGGATTCAATAGTCAACATTTGGTGACATACTGTATGGACCCCCTCCCGCCAAACCCCCCTATGGAGAATGGCAACCAGATGGCAGGGGCGGCAGGGTTCGTTTTAATTTTTTTCATTAATCTGTTTTACTTTTTTTCACTTTTTTATTTATCTTATTATTTTTTTATCTTATTATTTTTTATCACCTTTTTATTTTAATTAAAATGTGTTTTTTCCCCCACTTAGCTCCTGTGTGATAGCAATAACGTTAACAAGCCTCTGTGTGATAGCATTTGGATGTGACAGGTTCTCTTGAATCTGTCACCTCCAATGCAGGAGTTCTTGCACAGCACTGTGCATGTGCAGCTCTCCCCTCTCACTGTTTACACGGAGCAGGGCGGAAAACGGACGAACATTCTCTGCTCTGCTCCCCGCTCTCTGTTGTCCAAATACACAAATTACCGTTACCTGGAAAACTAAACAAAATGTCCCCACTATTATATCTTCCATTCTTCAGAGACTGCCCGAGAAGGATTCAATAGTCAACATTTGGTGACAAGAGCAATAGATATCTTAAAAGAGAACTTTGGGGTAATCTTTTTACCCCATAGTTCTCTATAGGGTCACATATAGCATATAGTGAGCATATACTTAGAGCTCCGCAGCTGGGACGGATCCTGACAATACTGTCGAGATCCACCCAGCTGGCTGATTGGCAGCAGGCTCTGCCTATCTAGAGGCAGAGCCAGCTGTGCCCGTCCCCTCCCCCGTCCGTTCCTCCAGTCATTGCTGGAGGACCGGAAAGGGGTGATCCCTGCAGGGAGCAGTGACTAACAGTCACCGCTCTCTGCAGGCAGATGATCGGGAAGTGAGTGAGCGACGATATGTGTTCGCTCACTTCCTGATCAATAGAGCCCATGTGTGACAGTTTCAATGTCACAGGTCGGCTCTAACTATGAGGATGAGTGGAAATCACTCACCTCATAGTTCTCCTTTAATTCAAAACAGATGTCACCAGGCTGATCTCAGATCATTCAGCAGCTTGTTCTCAGTTCTTCATTGGTGAGAAAGATCTGAATGCTACAAATGTCAGACATAGGCTTCTAGGATACATATATAGTTTCCAGTTTGGGAACCCTGTGTCTCTTCTTTAAAGAGTTCAAATTTAGAATTGATTCCTCCATGACGATAAAACAATGCTACCATTAATGAGAGCATTTCTTAAAATGGTGGCTCTTCTGGAATGCATGTCCCAACAGTCCTGGCCACCCGTATCTCACTTTTCTTTAGCTATAACCCCTTGTCTCACTCCAAATTTCTTTGTTTCATGAATACCAAGCTACACTTCCAGTAATTACTGTATAGTTGCCAATATATTGTAGCAATCAAAGCTTAAATAAACCCTGAAAGTGTGCTGCAGCTTGTTGTTTGGATCCTGTGTAATATGAGGTAACAGTAGAAAGCCTTCCAGTTGTATGCCTGTAATGTAAAATAAAAAGTTAGGCCGCTTTCACACGGGCTGATCACAGCAGTACGGAGCGGGAGAGGCGTAGCAAGGTCACGAGGCGCCCCGGGGGCAAGTCTTTTATTAGCACCCCACCCCCAACAAACCAAACCATAGTCCAATCCTGACACACATGATCCATACAGTCTGAAGGATGGAGGGCCGCAGACTGAAGGAAGGGGGGTCCAGTAACCTGCAATGTTGGCAGTTACCAGGGCCCCCAAGTGGCAAAATGCTAGGGCCCCATCACAGCTGCAACTGCTGTGACCCTGGTAGCTCTGCCACTGTATAGAGGACTACAAATCCCAGCAATACATTATACAGCAATGCAGAATACCACCAGCTATAGAGGACTACAAATCCCAGCAATACATTATACAGCAATGCAGAATACCATCATCTATAGATGACTACAAATCCCAGCAATACATTATACAGCAATGCACAATACCATCATCTATAGAGGACTACAAATACCAGCAATACATTATACAGCAATGTAGAATACCACCATCTATATAGGACTACAAATTCCAGCAATACATTAAACAGCAATGTCGAACACCATCATCTATAGAGGACAACAAATCCCAGCAATACATTATATAGCAAGGCAGAATACCATTATCTATAGAGGACTACAAATCCCAGCAATACATTATACAGCAATGCAGAATACCATCATCTACAGAGGACTTACAAATCTCAGCAATACATTAAACAGCAATGCAGAATGCCATAATCTATAGAGGACTGGTGCTGGGTCCCGTACCCTGGTCCACGGTGCAAGGGAGCTCTGGGCCAGTTCCTGGGCACACTGGCAGCTCACGGCCCACATCTGCTCCTCATTAATGGGTTGCTCCTAGGTATTCATTAAAATGTCCCCACATCCCCCTGCAAAAATTGCCTTTTTGCCACTGTCCCCCCCTGGATTTGCCACTGACCTGACCTTCAGGCTGCATACAAGTGGTCTCGGCAACATCGCAGAGATCATTTGTAAACAAACTTCCCCGCCCTGCCCCTGGAAGTTCATGTCCTATATAGGAATTCCTGCTATAGGAATTCCTGCCGCCCCTCTGCTCCCTACATCCTTGTGGGAAATCCGCCCCTGTCGGCGCCCCCTTCAGATCGACAGTACAATTTTTCCTCCATCTTGCAATAGAGTAAAAAACTGCAGTTACCGGACCCCTTGCCAGTCTGTGGAGAATCGGATGAAAATGGACATGTGTCCTGTTACATCAGATTACCCCTGATCTGGCAAAATGGCACATTGTTCCATTTGTCCTACCGGACCAGCCGGAGGCGGCAGTAAACAGAGGCACGTCCATTTACATACGGCAGCCCATAGACTTGCATTGGCCATCCGATCGGGTCCAATAGGTTACCATTTGCCTAGAATTCATGATTTATGATTATGATTTAGGGAATTAGGGCTGTCACCAATATCACCATTTTGTATTTTGTCTGTGTAAACATTTTTCAAGTAATTTCCTACCACCGTATGACAAACTTAAGACCTAGTCTCATAATTGCTTTTTAAATGTTATACTTAGTAAAACAGCACTTTTACACTTTCCCAATATACCGGTAGTTATTTTTCTCCACCAATAGTAATGGATTCCTAAGACATTTGTCCTTCTTGCTGTAACCAACACTTTCCTTGGACAAAAAACAGAGATTCAATTTTCAGAAGCCAATATTTTCAATAAGGGCTCTTCAAAAACGGAAACGTTTCATCCCACTGAGTTTTTTAAGCATTACGCTGACTCTAAATAGCCATCTGTGAATAGTACTGTTACGACCCACTGGGAGTCATCAGCACATGGCTGGTCAGTATGTAAAGCACCATAGTTCCTAAAAACTTTTGTACATAAGAGCATACACTAAATGCACAGATCTCATGCAGTGAGCAGAAACATTAGGTTGATTGAACACCATAGTGCTCAATAAGCACCAAAGTTCTTAATTTATGTCACAGTCAAGTCTGCTGGCCAGAACTTTTAGCCCCATGCTGATTAGACCTAATGACCACAATGCATGTATCCATGTGTGATGCGTTTAAACATAGTGGATAGCCACATACAGACCTGCCATTTAAAATAGCATTTATTCAGAAATCATTTTCTTTTTTGGAGAGGATGATTTAGTACAATCAGGTTTTATTGAGATTTTTCCCATATACATATCAAAGAATAAGCATACACAGAAAAACTTTTGTCACAAAAGAAACAATACAAAAGAACAGAACATAAGGTGGGCGACCCCTAGGGAGCCCACCTCAGTATGGTAACGTCACAGTTAGTGATAATCAGATGTTAGAGCAAGGCTCTGACACAGAACAGTGTAGGCCAGTGAGCCATACAGAGTATTTCACAGTAAGGGCGCGGGACCACACACGCCGCCTGCCCGTAACTCGGGAGTAGATGATATGTGACACCGAGAGGCTGCCTACACAGTGCATTTCCCTTGCCCTCTCAAATGGCACAGGTGGGGACAAGGGACATATGGCATTTAGGAGGACACAGACAATGAAACAAGACATTCAGGGGAAAACCCCAAAGCTTATGAGGGCAACATAGAGAGTAACAAGGAAGGAGAGAAGAACAAGGTGAGTACAGGAGAATGCACAAAAAGAGCACTGGTAGATCCCACCCCCTGCCAGGGTGTCTGCCGGGCCTAGAGGCCAGTGAGAAATAGTCTACGAGAATTTCGCCGCCTCTCAGAAGGTGAGCCATGCAGACCACGCGAGTACATGTTGAGGACCAGCCTCAGGTTCCTCAGCCAGGCGTCCCTCCACGTCCGCAATGCGGTCCATTTCCACAGTCCATTCAGCCAGGGTGGGGACCATCGGCCTACGCCAATGGCGCGGGATGACC